CAGCAGAGCAGCATGTCTGTCCCTGCCACCCACTCACCCACAGCCCTTGGAATGCACACAGGGGCCGTGTATCGCCTCAGGTGACCCGAAGTGGCCGCCATAGTGTGAAAGGACAGCTGCTGTTTCACTGATGCAGTTCTTGGCTTGTTAAAACCCCTCCTTCCTGTACTACAGCCTGTGCTGGAAGACACCAAACTACCTGCCTGGAGAAGGTATCGAAAGCTTGACAGAGGCTGAAGGGAACTCTCTGATTACTTCTTTTCTCACGAGGTTTCTTTAGCTGAAGTTGCTAACAAGGGCCAATCTTGAAACCCAGGAATGGGTTTCTTTTTGTTTTATTTTTCGGGTCCTCAGTCCTGCGTGGGACTCGATAACTGGGTGCTGCAGAGGCTTCGGCAAGGCATCAAAAACGCTCGCCCCGCACCCAAGGGTGGCACAAGATCTGCTCCAGCTCTGGCCTGTCCGCGGGGTGCTTGGACAAACACCAGCAGATCAGATGTTGGCATTCCGGGAAGAGAAGCCAGAAAGCGCCGATCATTTGCAGAAGGGTCCAGCCCAGCGGCTCCCAGCCGGGTGCCTTGGCTCAATGCGGGCTCGGCGCGGGCAGAGGGCGAGCGGCGCGGGCAGAGGGCGAGCGGTGCGGGCAGGGAGCAGCGGAGCTCCGCGCCCTCGGCCCCGCTGGAGCCTCGGGGCCGCCCCGAGCTGGGGCTGTGCTGTGGCAGGGAGGGAAGTGGGAGCCGCCTCCGCTACCGGGCACCTGCGCCGGCTCCCCAAATCGGTGGGGGATGGAGACAGAGCCGGCTACCACAAATTGGAAGGGGAAGGAGCCTGGGCAGGTGCCCCCCAAATCGATGGGGGCAGAGATTATCCCCGGCCCCCCTAAATCGGAGGGGGAGACCACCCCCGGCCCAGCAGAGGTGAGATGGAGAATGTCTGGGGGCTGCGAAGTCGGCGACTGCATCGACCCCCCCAAATCGGAGAGGGCTTGAGCCCACGCCGGCCCCCCAAATCAGGGGGGGCAGGGAAAGTGCTGCCCCCCCCAAAGTGGAGGGGGACGGAGCCAGCGCCAGTCCCCCCAAACAAGGGGGGCAGAGATGACCTCCAGACCCCCTAATTGGAGGAGGACGGGACCCACGCCGGCCCCAAAATAGGAGTGGGATGGAGCCTGCGCCGACACCCCAAACAAGAGGGGGACAAAGAGCAGGGTCCCCCCAAATCGGAGGGGGACGAAGA